CTAGAGAGAGGGCGGTGATGGTGGTGGAGGATCAATTCTGCCTCTGTCTAACATGAAGTAGGAGACCAGTTTTTCAAGGACCACTTCAGTTTTTGTAATGGCATGCTAGTCTGCATGGCCCGCAGTTTGGGAATTGCTTCCGTAGGTTCCGCACAAGCTCTTGTTGATTTTGGTGTGGGCTAAAACAGTGCTTCTCAGCCAATGGCATGTGTACCACTGGTGGGATGCAGAAGTAGTCTAGGTGGGACGCAGGGTATTCATAACAATGATGGAGAATTTACTCTCCCTCAATCCCTTTGTCCATCTGCTGCCCCACCTGTCACGGATTATCCATGTGTGACTTTCTGGCATGCTAGCAGTAACCTTGGAGACTCAGTGTTTCTCCTCCTCCCTTGTTCTCCCTGCCCACCAGCAAAGTGTCTTTGATGTGCATGCTGCTTCCCACTGACCTGCTCACCAGGGATTATCCACTGTGCTTCTGCAATTCTTGATGTCCTTAACACTTACCATAAACGATAAATATAATAACAAAATTATTGTATGCATATTAGTGTCCTCCTTGGGAAAAGCAGGCTTTTTGTTTCTTTCATGGTGGGACCCAGGTTCATTCATCAAGGGATTGGCAAGATGTGAGCTATTAAAGGTTGAGAATGTCTGATCTAAGAGGAGATCCTGAAATCACAAAGCTAACCGAGTGCAACAAGACAGCAGATGGATATAATGGGTTGTATCCCTTTTAGGTTCTGTTCTGTTACTAGCACTGTTTAGCATTAGAACAAATTTAGAGTCCAGTGGCACCTTTAAGACCAACCTTTGTTGGTCTCTAAATTTGTTGGACTCTAAATTTGTTCTGCTGCTTCAGACCAACACGGCTGACTACCTGGAACTATTTAGCATCAGAACGTCCCCATACACCATCTCCTAGGCGAAGAAGAAGAAGAAGAAGAAGAAGAAGAAGAAGAAGAAGAAGAAGAGATTGGATTTATATCCCACCCTTCACTACCCAAAGGAGTCTCAGAGTGGTTTACAAACTCTCCTCCCTCCCCACAATAGACACCCTGTGAGGTAGGTGGGGCTGAGAGAGCTCTGACAGAAACTGCTCTTTTTCAAGAACAGCTGTGTCAGAACTATGGCTTGCCCAAGTTCATCCAGCAGGTGCAAGTGGAGGAGTGGGGAATCCAACCCGGTTCTCCCAGATTAGAGTCCACACACTTAACCACTACACCAAACTGGCTGACCTAATACCAACTTGTCATTGGTGTAGAAAGATGGGCACGCCTGAGAGATACATGAATGTGGTCTGGTTCATGTTAGACTTTCAACCATGCCCGTGTGAAGTTGGTTGGGCTTTGAGCTTCAGGGTATCCTGTAAGCATCAGGGCTGACCAAAGCATTAAGTCCATGTTTCCCTAGGCCAAGTCCAATATCGTGCTCTCAGCAAGTCAGCTCACTTTGGCTGCATTCAGACATCATAGATCAAGCACTGTTGTTACACTACTTTAGGGGTCTCCAGCTTTTCTGACGCTGCGTGAACCTTTGAGATTCTGACACAGTGTGGTGGGTGCAGGAGGTGGAGCCAGCCCCAAAATGGCTGCCATGGCTGACTTTCAACCACTCAGTGAAGATTCCTGTGCTGTGGTATCAGCTGCTGCCAAAGCAACAGTTAAAAAAATCTGCACAGCCAATCAAATCTCCAGTAGCCAATCAGAAGCCCTGCTGAGCAAAACCCTAACTGGCCCCTCCCACTTTGTAAAAGCACTGGGCAGGCTTCAGGAAAGATATCACTGGGTGCCACGGCACCCCCTCCCCAGTACCATGTTGGGGACCACTGTACTTCTCCAATCATCTTATTGACTGATTGATTTAAAACAGAACTCAAGGTAGCTTACAATAGAAATAAAATAACAATAATGAAAACTAGAATTTAAAACCACGACTGAACACCACCAGCAAATTAATCAAATGTGTAACTGGATTATCCTGTGTGGACAAGACAATCTGGTTGTGAATGATGGCTATGGCATAACTAATAATGTGCGAATGCACCCTTTGTGATCGTAATCCACATCTGTTACCTCTGCCCAGTACGTACTGCATTTTAAAGCAGGGAGCATCTTACAGATAGTCACCTTTGAACATGAAACCATCTACACATTTGGGCAATGCAACCAAGGGGTCAAAATGTAATGGGTACACAACCGCTGCAACCATCTTAGAGAAATTGATAGTAAATCTTAGAACAAACTTGGGCTGATTTTGCACTAGAGCTGCCTCGCGGTTGCACCGCCGTTTGCCCCGACACTATCGGTCAATTTCACACCCGAAGCTGCGGGGCTGCCTTTGACCCGTGGCTTTGCCCGATTCGAGGCAGCTCTAGTGCAAAATCAGCCCTGGAGTCCAGAGGCACCTTTAAGACCAACAAAATTTAATTCTGGATATAAGCTTCCATGTGTATGCACACTTTGTCAGAGCAAATCTTAGAGTGATTCAGAATCATTTACCATGTAACTCGTGGTGTGGGTGAGACGTGCCAGACTGCATCGTGTTTGGCATATGATCCCTTTGTGCCTCTTGCATTTCTGGTTCACTGCTCACAATCATGGCAGAGGAAGAACTAAAATGTAATACCAGTTAAGTTTCATTCAGAGTTCTTTGTTTGGAGAGTTTCATTCATCTTTCACTTTCTTAACCAGGGAGCTTCCTTATCAAAAGGCATATTATATAAAACAGACAACTTAGAACTGGCCCCAAACACACACACACACACGTTCCCACATCACTTCCGGGGCCAAAAGCTGATTAGAATGAAATGTAACTTTGAATCTGTAGTAAACTGGGGCCTCTAATACTCCTGGTGCTTGTAAATCTGGGTGTGCCGTCTCATGTCACACTAGACCAGTTGATAATTAAAAGGAATCTTAAGAGTGCCATCATAAAAGGTCTGAAGATGATACTGTACCCATATCACAAACTTTGCCATGACTTGGATGGCATAGGCTAGTTTGATCTTGTCAGATCTCAGAAGCCAAGCAGGGTTGGCCCTCGTAAGCACTTGGGATGGGAGACCATCATGGAAGTCCAGGGTTGCTGTGCAGAGGCAGGCAATGGCAAACCATCTCTGCCCCCGGTCACACGGGCCAGATAACATGGGAGGGGGGAGGCGTGGCTGGTTGCCCCGGAGCCAAATAAAGCACAACAGTAGCCCAATCACACGGTCCCCCGAGCCTCCGTGCTTCGGCTGTTTGCTGGCGATCCCATGATCAGATGCCCACCTGTGCCACGCGTTTTCCGGATACTAGTGCACTTCCGTTGGTACTTTGTAACTCCTCATCTTTGGCGGGACGCCACAGGTTGGCCACAGGTGCGCTACACTTCCCAGATGTTGCGATGTGATCGTGCCCCAAAAATCCGCCCGACACTCATGCCTTTTGCGCTGCAAATTCTCCATGTGACCGGGGCCTCTGTTCATCTATCACCTTGAAAATTCTAAGGGGTCTGAGCAGCCAATCATATCTTCAGTGGCCAATCAGAAGCCTCACTGGGCAAAAGCCCTACCTAGCCCTACCCCCTTTCTAAAAACTCTTGGTGGGTACCAGGAAAGTTGCCCATAAGTAGGCTGTGACTTGATGGCAATTGCCAGCATTGCAAACTTTGGGATATATCTGATAATGAAAAACAGGATATAGCCAGTTTTGAATTCAGATTCAAGTTTCTAGGATATGGCTACTCAACTTGAATGACATGGTGGATAAATTATTGTTTTCCATTCCTGGGAGCCAAAGTGGTCTTAAAGGTTTTGGGTTAATGGTTTTTGGGTTAATGGTTACCATTTTTGCCTGAGATTGTGGGCAGGCAATTTTGGGTTAATGGTTACCAATTTTGCCTGCAATTGTGGCTTCTTTGTTGCTTGTAAGTGCTACAGGTAGTATTTTTAACTGCTATCTACAGGTGGTATTGCACAAAGCTATTCACATTTGGACATGTAGTATGCATGGCATGATTGAGACTTGTAGGGACTGTGCTATCCAGTCCTATTAATGCAGAAATATCTTCCACATTAGTAGATATGCTTAAGAACTACATTTAAGATATGCTTAATACTACATTAAGAATGTAGCTTTTAAAGTCTGTTTAATTTTCTTGTTCTATATATGCTTAGTTGGAAATAAGTCCCACTGAGTTCAGTGGGATTTACTTCCAAGAAAGTATGCATGGGATTTCTGCCTTAAGGCTCAGATATACCTCAAGATGTCTTCTGTGCTTATTTCAAATGACAGTATTTTCCTTTTGCAAATTTAGCCGCTAGGATTATTTTATCAAGGAGGCAAATAGAGTGGTGAGAGAGGGAGAAACTTTAACCACTTCATCCCTTACCATTTCCTTGCCCGAACCCTACCAACCTGTCTGTTTTTACTGTCACTGAGAAAATCTGTACATTTTCCCCAGCCGGAGTAAAAGCAACCTGAGGGCTAATTTTTTCCTAAGAATAAACAGCAGAAAAGGAAAAAGTTAAACTTTCTTCTCATGCCATTGTCTACCTTGATAAAGCAATCCCAGAGACTACAACTGGGGGGAGGGGTTTGAAAGAAAATTTAATGTAAACATGGAAGAAACCGTAATGAGTTCTTAACTTCTTACTGTCTCCTGTAAAAGCTTGTTAAGATAATACGAGCTAGATAATGCCATTCCAATTAAGAATGGTTAATTGCACCAAAAAAGTGATCAAATTGTTGTTTCTTCCAGCAGGCTAACTTAACTTTGGTTGTCTCATTTGGACACTGTGTTCTGTCTTTGATCTTTATCTCTTCCTCAGAAGGGAAAATGGCAATTACGGGAAACTGTTTTTTTGGCTTTCCTTGATTATCCCCTCCAGTGTATGAACAATTTGTTTGCTCTTGTACGACTCAGTGGGATTATATCTTGATATATCATGGATTATATCTTGGCTGTAGGCCCTGTGTCTTCTGCTGCGCCATTCATTTGGATCTCTTGTTTTCTAGGTTGGATCTTGCCCAATCATTGGGCTTAACTCAGCTCCAAGTGAAGACTTGGTATCAGAATCGCAGGATGAAATGGAAGAAAATGGTAAGCACCATGAATGGATTTGTTTGGTCTATTAAGTACAAGGAGCCAGGAATGAGAAAATACAAGAGAAAAACAGCTTTAATGCAAGGACAAAACATGTCTCATTCACATAGGCTGCGGTCACACAAACTAAGTAATCCACTTTCAATCCACTTTCAGTGCACTTTCCAACTGGATTTTGCCAGTACACACAGTAAAAGCCAGTTGAAAAGTACACTGAAAGTGGATTGAAAGTGGATTGTTTAGTGTGTGTGACCGCAGCCATAGTTGTATCTGAACAAAGACTGAGTCCGCTGGCACCTCTGAATCCAGTGACACCTTTAAGACCAACAAAGTCTAATTCTGGGTATAAGCTTTCTTGTGTATGCACACTTCTTCAGATACAAATGAAAGCTTATACCCAGAACTAAACTTTCTTGGTCTTAAAGGCACCACTGGACTCAAACTTTGCTCTATTGCTTTAGACCAATATGGCTACCTACTTGGATCTATAGTTGTAGCTGGTTCACTGTCCGTCATTTCCTACCTGGATTCTTCTCACCATTACTATCTTTGTCACATAGTGGTGGCCATTGGCCACTTTTTCCAACCAGTATGTCATCAATCAAGTCCAAATTATATGGTAGGGACATTGCAGTGCACACTGCAGTACATATATAGCTGTTCCTTAGATTTGCCAATTCCAGGTTAGGAAATCCCTGGAGATTTGGAGGTGAAGCCTGGGGAGAATGGGGTGTGGGGTGGGAAGAGACTTCAGTAGGGTATAATGGCAGAGTCCATCCTTCAAAGCCGCCATGGCCTCCAGGGGAACTGATCTCTGTAGTCTGGAGATCAAGTGTAATTCCAGGAGATCTCCAGTAGAGACTTCATTTTTTGCTAGCCTTTATCTAGACACGCTACAGTCTCCTGCTCTCTGTGCTTGTTGTGTTGTGCAAATAGCAGATACAATGTGACACTTAAGAAATAATGACCCCCCCCAATTTGTAATGATATCATTATTCTGTTTCACAATAGATATAACCCAAGATTAACAAAACATAATAAATTGGGTGGTGGTGGTCAAATACAAAACAAAGACATTTAAGAAGAAGAAACAACTTTATTTAAAAAATTACAATTTGTGTTGTATTTTGCTCTCAGTTTTAACACAATGGTTTGGTAACAAGATTGTCTATACCTGTGTTATTTACTAAATCACATCTTTTCATATATCCCTAGTATTAAACAGAGAATGAACTGATATCCATCATCTGGAGATCAGTTGTAATTAGGGTTCCGAGCTTCAGGTTGGGAAATACCTGGAGATTTTGGGGACAGAGCTTGAGGAGGGCATGGGTTGGGGAGGAGAGGTGCTTCAATGTAGGGCTGCCAAGTGGGGGTGGGTGGCGGGTAAACCCCCACTTTGGAAGCCCGATTTCCACCGCTGCGGAATCGGGCCCCAGGGGGAACTCCGCCCCCGAAGCGTCCCCCGAAGCGTCGGAGGGAAAACCCCTTCGACGATCGTGGCCACGCCCCCAACGTGAGTGACGTAGCGTGTCACTTCCTGTGATGTGCTGGCGGCACGCGCGCGCAAGGCGCGCACATTGCTGGAGAGCTCCTAGAGCCCAGCGAGGCTCCCCCACTGCCAACGTAAGGAGACTTGGCAACCCTACTTCAATGGGGTATAATGCCATACAGTTCACCTTCTGAAGCAGCCATTTTGTTGTACATATTAGATTCCATGTCAAAAATGAAGTCAAATGAAGAGGAAGATCTATGTTTTATTTCAATTAACAAGAAAACAGTTGGACCAAATAGTCCATCCAAAATTGACTACTTTCTTCTCAGCATATTCAGGGAATATGCTTCAATTAACAGGAAAACAATTGGACCAAATAACTAATCAAAAATTGACAACTTTCTTCTTTTTCTTCTTATTCATCTTCTTCTTGAACATCTTCTGAACATATTCAGGAAATACATGATATTTTATACATGGACTGACATCACCAAGAAAACAATATTCAAAAAGCATAATTGGTTACAAAAGACAGTGGTAATTTGAGTAAAGAAACATATATCTACGTCAATCTAAGTAAAACCTAAGTGTTTACTTAACCTAACCTAAATGATAATGGGCAAGGATTCTTCATACCCTAAACAAAAGTATTAATTACTGATACGAGACTAAAATCGTCTCTGACCCAGACATTGCAAGGTTTTGCCCTTAAGAACTACAGAATCATGAACTTTGTAGCTATTATATTGTCTACTAACAATATCAGACCTACAAGAGGAAAGCCTTCTACATAACAGGCCTTTCTAACATTCTAATAAAATATTATTTAAGAATAAATCTATAAAAAACAGAGAAATATGAATAATCAAAAAAGGGGAAAATCTTTATAGTCCCATCTCTACTACAATTTTCTTTAGGTTAACTGATCTCTTTCACCTGGAGATCAGTTGTAATAGTACCTCCAGCCACCACCTAGAGGCTAACAGACAAAAAAAAAATCACCGTGATAGGAACCAACAACTAGAAAAATACACTGTGTGTAAGAGATGTCCAAGACCTTTAGAAAGATTAACAGACAAAAATATCCATTTAACATGGTTACCTCCAGCCACCACCTAGAGGCTAACAGACAAAAAAAAATCACCGTGGTAGGAACCAACAACTAGAAAAATACACTGTGTGTAAGAGATGTCCAATACCCAATTACAACAGTCTTTCAGAAATCTTAATAAAGCTTCAAATATTTTATGGAACATGTCAGTGTGATTTTATATTATTTATTTATTTATTTATTTATTTATTAAATTTATACCCCGCCCTCCCCCCGTAGGGCTCAGGGCAGCTTACATGGCAAGAAATCTTGCAATAATAAAACATCAAATACATTTGATAGCATTTAAAAACATATTATACAATTTAAAAAAACATCTCAGTTCTCCTGAACCTCAGAGAGATGACAACCACATTATAAATTAGTGAAGCAACACAACACATATACAATAGAATGTCTCATTCATAACATTTGTTCCAAAGTCCATGATATATCAAAGAAGCTGGATTAATGTTGGAGATGCATTCCATTTAAGAAATTGTAAGCTTGGTGCTCATTTACTCCCACAGGTCTTTTCTTTTTGTGAATGTGACAGAAGGGCTTTTGAATAAACATGCCCAAAGATAAAGTGTTATGAAACTAACTAGTGGATATGAGTATATATCTTCTTGAAAAAGGAACCTCGAAACGTGTGTACTGATTATATCCGGAAACCACGTTGGTCTTCTTTGACATATTCTGGAGGACTTCTTTGATATATCATGGACTTTGGAACTTGTTGACATTTTTTGTGATTGAAACGGTTTGCTTAGAGTATTACTTCTTTCGGATACCCCCCTTATGTTACAAATGCTAGGAATGAGACATTCCTTTGTATAGGTGTTGTGTTACTTCACTAATTTATAATATAAAATTACACTGACATTTTTCATAAAATATTTGAATCTTTATTAAGATTTTTGAAAGATTGTTGTAATTAGATATTGGATATTTCTTACTCACAGTGTATCTTACCACCTAGAGGCTGGCAACTCTAGTTGTAATTCTGGGAGATCTTCAGGCCCCAACTGGAGGTTGGCAACCCTAACCTTGATGGCAGTGATGCCGTTCCAGGAAGCAATGTTTGCCACTTCTTGTACTATTAGCATTGCCAGTCCCCTCGGAGCAGCTGGCAGGGGATGGGGGGTACACTTACCGGGAGTGGGAAGGAAAGCCGGAAATAAATGTGATGTGCCTACATGACCTGGAAGGGACATGGGCTTATCAGGAACATGCTCTGGTTTTTGGGCAAAACTCTCTGGTAGAATTAGCTTCTAACATAGAGTTTTGCCCAAAAACCAGAGCGTCACCCCCCAATGTCCCTGATGTGCCTCCATCCCTTTCAGGTAACGTAGGCATGTCATGTTAATTTCCAGCATTCCTCCATTGGGGAGGGGGTAATTCCCCCCACCGTCACCTGGCTGGTGGTGGAGAAGTGGGGTCTGGCAGTGGGAGACCCCCACCCCAACAGGGGGGTCTGGCAACCCTGTGCACTACCAATAGCCTGGAGTGGGCTGAGTCTCTGAGGTAGATTATTGCTCTTCCCATTATGCTGCCTATTGCTCTCCCTTTGGTGGCTTGACTGGAGATCCGACCCTATCTGCACGTCTCTTCTATCAGTCACGTACCCCATGGCAACCCCTCCCCAAAAAACCTATAGATTTTCAAGGTGATGTTAAATGCTTAATTTGCTTTTGGCCCAGGTTCTGAAAGGTGGCCAAGAAGCTCCCACAAAGCCCAAAGGCCGCCCCAAGAAAAACTCTATCCCCACCTCAGAAGAGATTGAAGCCGAGGAGAAGATGAACAGCCAAGCTCAGACGCAGGACTCGGAGGAAGGCCAGGCTGCAGAAGAGCCTGACTCGACCAAGGAGCAATTGGACAACCTCTCAGAGACACAGGAGGCTCCTGAACACACACCAGAAACCTCCCCGGAGGAGACAACATCGAGTTAAAAGAGAGAGAGAGAGAGAGAGAAGGCTAGCTGGTGGGGGGGAAAGAGAGAACAATGTACAAACCGGAAGCGTGTATACTTTGTGCCTTACGAAATCAACCAAATGCAGTGGGTCACCGAGGAGGAAAGTGACCCAATGTAAACAGTGACAATTTCCCCCTTTCCCCATGTTGTGTGTATGCAACAGATATCACGGGGCAGGGGGTCTTGAGTGCTTCTCCACATGTGACTGCATGCTTAGAAACCTGAGACTCTGGAGGCACCAGAGAAGCTGAAACCTCCCTTAGCACTGTCTGAAGAGGTTCTTTTGTGACAGCACTATGCCAGAGAGTTCATTGTCTTGCCATTATTATCTTGACTTTCAAAATGGGTACAGGACAGCAACTGCCGAGAAGTGAGGGCTTTCTGTTTTCTGACAAGAGTTTTCTTCTGTAACCAGCACTTAATTGGGGGAGGGCCAAAGTAAAGCATTGTATAGAGGGTGTCTAAAACGTGCCAAGTTGGTGTTCTAAAAAAAGCTATTGGGGGGGAGATAGTGGTGCCAATTTTGGGTTGGGAAGTTCCTGGAGATTTGTGGTGGAACTTGGGGAGGGCACGGGTAGGGAAGGAAAGGAGCCTTAGCTGGATATAATGCTATAGAGTCCTTCCTCCAAAGCAGCCACTTTCTCCAGGAGAACTAATTTCTGTCACCTGGAGATCAGTTGCAATTCCCAGAGATCTAGAGTTGCTAGCTCTGGGTTAGGAAATACCTGTAGCTTGTGGGGTGGAGCCTCGGGAGGGCAGGGTTTGGGGAAGGAAGAGATCTCAGCAGGGTATAATGCCATACAGTCTACCCTTCAAAGCATCCATTTCCTGCAGGGGAACTGCTCTTGGTTATCTAGACATCAATTGTAATAGCGGGAGATCTTCAGATGCCACCTGGTGGTGGGCAACCCTAGGGGGGTCTCTAGGCTCCATCTGGAGGTTGGGAACCCTAAGAACATTTGTATCTGCGTGTTTCCAGAAGATCTAGAGCTGCTTTCAGAGCTGTGGACCCCAGTGTAAGGGGGAGGGAGACTTCCAACAGAGCAAAGAACTGTGGTGGGCAAGAGGGCAAAGAAAAGAGCAGTAGCAGAACCAACCACCAGTGGGGCTGCGCTATCCAGCCCTCTTGGGTCCATGGAAGCAGAGGCAGGCAGTGGCAAACCACCTCCGTACATCTGTTGTCCTGAAAACCTTACAGGGGCGCCATAAGTGCACTGTGACTTGAGGGTGCTGTCCACCATCATCAAGTTCAGTCAGGCTTATTTTCAAACCTCAATTTATCAAAGAGATATACAGATATTTGAAAATGAATAAAAACGATAGTTTGGAATTGTTCTGGGGGAAAAACTTTTTAAAAAGAACATGATTATTTTAGATACATTATTTTAAAGCAATAACATGACTACAGTGCTGCAACTTTCAGCTGTCGTCGTACCACCAGGATTTTTTTGTTTTTTAAAAAAGTTTTTCACAGTTGTGTGATGTAAAGATGTTATTTTGGGTTGGGGGTTATCTATTCTGCTGAGCTGCCAAATCGGTTAATCTAAACGACCAGTGAGCTCAAAGTTGTGGCACTTGTTTGTTGTCATTTTTAAAAACTAAATGCTTTGACATTTCACAAAGTTAGGCATGGGTCAGCGCTTTTAGAGTCCCATTAAGGCTTTTGACCAGCCATTGTACAGACACTTTGCAGAGCCTTTGGAACTCTTCCCGATTGGGCTGCACTTTCCCGAGTGCTTGTTTTAAGAACGTGGGGATATCTTTAGCATCTGGGGAGAGCAAGCCACAGGATTAAGAAGAAAACTTTGCAGCAGAATCGTGGCGTTTCGTTTCCAGCCCTGTGTGCCAAGGTTAGATCAGTGTCGTGTTTCCTATAGTCTTGTTGAAGGGTGCATTTTTTTTGCCCAAAGGCTGCAAACAGATGTATCGAGATAACCTTTATTTTTTAATTAAAAATAAAATATATAAATAAAGGAGTCAATGAAGCCTCTCTTGTCCAAAGTTTTTAATAACTGGATTTCTTCTACACTTTGCTGTAGCCTGGCCAAAAACCCTGGAGAAAAAAATTCAATGCCCCAATACCTCTACTGGCAATAACAAGTTCGAAGTACTGAGAAAACATTAACCTCAAGCTTCATCGTAAACATCTAGTCTGGGGAGGGGAGGGACTTCAACAGGATAAAATGCCACAGAGTCCACCTTCCAAAGCAGCCCTTTTATCCAGGGGAAATTATCTCAGTCTGATCCCAGGAGATCTCCAGCCACCACCTGGAGGTTAACAATCCTAGGGATGGGGCATGCGGATGCTGCCCCCATACTCTTCCACCCCACACACTGCTACTTGTACACAGTGGGGACAACTTTCCAGCCTGCCATGAGGCAGCAGCCCATTACAATCATATATTAAAATGCCCAATTCCCTCCTACATCTGCCTTCTAAGCACGGGGAAGAAATCCACCTTTTCACAATTGTTATTTGCTAGTGAAGGCCCCATCTCCTGGCCATCCTTCTGTGCCTTTAAGAGAAGCACAAGATGCAGAAATGGTGGGGGAGGAATGCGAAATTGCCTCTTGGGGAAAACCTATCCTGCCGAATTTCAATTTGTCATGCAACCCGCTTTTGGAATGTGGCTGGAAAAAGAGATGGCTCCTCTCTTACCAGCTCTTGAAAGGCAAAGACATAATCTCTCCTGTCACACTGGCGAGTGTTGACATTGGGATGCATGAGTCACAGAGCCTGTGGCTGGTGGCAAAGGGGATTATTCGATCCAAATCAGAGGAAGGTTTGGACAGAGTCGGGAACAGATCCGATAAACAATCATGCCCAGTGTCCCCGTCCTCATGCATTCGTGTACACGCTGAACTCGATAAGACTCCCTGTATGGATCCAGTGAACCTAGGAGGAACTGGAAGAACCGCAGCCATTGTGTGTATTCAAATACATGCAAACTTAGAGATGCTCATTGCCCAGCTGAGAAGTGAAACCAGTCCAAGGTGAGATACAAAAACAATCGCCCAAGTCGCAGATACCCTTCAGACCCAACATGGCATCGTATGGTGTTCTCACAGCAGGTGTCATCCTGCTGTTTAGAAATTAAACATGGGTTATGAGATTTCAGGGGCGTCTGCCAGCAAAAGTGAGGGGCTCAGTGGCAGAGTGTCTGCTGGACATACAGAAGGTCCCAGGTTCAATCCCGGGCATCTCCAGTTAAGAGGATCAGGTAGTAGGTGATGGAATAGACCCCGACCTGAGACCCTGGAAAGCCAGTGCCCATCTGGGTAGAAAATACTGACCTTGGTAGACCAAGAATCTGACTCTGTACAAGGTAGCTTTGTGTATTTAATCAAAAGAGTGACAAGTGCAATCCAAAGCAGAGTTATTCTAAAAAGGTAAAGGTTTCCCTTGCTCAAAAGCCAGTCGAATCTACAGTGCTCATCTCTGTTT